CATTAGACTTTTTACAGGGTTTTAAGGAAACTGAATAACATCAAAATTTCATTCAAAACTCCCTGAGCTAAATCTGCAGCAATATAAAATTGCCTTTAAAAATTTTTTGAAAATAATAATCAAAATACATGATGCGCAAGATTTGCCACATCATAGTGAGTTTCCTGAAAAATTACAGTTCAGATTCATGATTTAAACAATAATTCTTGTCATATTTCATAAAATATCTGGTCCTATTTACAATTAATTAGGTGAACATTAAGTTCAAGATAACCCATTATGGTTCCTACATATTAGCCCATTCACTAAAAGAAACAGCACTGTAAAATAAAACCATTCATAATAAACAACCAAAAATGAAAATAAACATTATACTTACATTCAAAATCAATATACATATAAGAATCGGACAATAACAACAAATATGCTAATATGAATTGGTGCATACTTTATTACAAATTTACTTTTTTCTTTGTGTTGGCAATGATATATACATATATATGCAATAGATAATAAACAAGTGGTGATAGATATCTTGTACTTTGCCATATAAGTGAACCATCTTTTTAGAATAAGTTTGAAATTATCACTGTAAATTATCTTTTATATATTTACATACAGGTATACATAGAACTTTTTTTTTCTATTAATATGTAATTTTCGATGCATAATTATTTTATAACTTATTACAGTACTTTTTTTTTGTACATTAGCCGACTCAATAATTTGGCAGCACAGTAATAATTTGTTTTGGAACAGATTTCTTTATACTAATTTATTTGCAGGAAACTCACTATTAGAAAATAAAACACATCTAAGCTTATAATCAAATTACTGTACAACATTGCCACTGGAATGAGCTGTACTGAAAATAATTCAGAGGCCACATATATCTAGTTTTATATATCTAGTTCAAACAATGAAGGATTGCGAATAAGTAGGATTGGAATGTCAAGTGCACTTTAATAATGAATAATGAGAGCATTATAGAGTGCACAAATTTACTAAATATTTAAAATATAATACAGTAAGAAAAATTATATGCAAACCAATTTGTGCTGTTCTAAACATTATTTTAACATAAAAGTCATTCTGGATTTTTTAAAATGAATTTCCATTGAATCAAAATAAATTACATTAAAATTAATATGATGATCTCTTACAGAAGAATTTTAACATCATTGAGTGGATCAGTTTTGCAATAAAACAAAACAAAACAAAATTTAGAAATATCACTATAAAATTAAAATGTTTCTTCGGACTGTAAAATTATGAATTTAAAAACTACTGAAAAGTTTTTATATAAAATACACCTGGCATTCCAACATGTACACACCTAAGGTTAACTATACCTACTAAAACAGGGATATTTGTACAATTTTCTATAATATATGTTTAATTTTTTGTTTCTGTACAATATATATCTCTTTATTTCAACGTTATATAATCTCTCAAAATCTATTTCTTTTACAAGAAATACATTATATTTTTTTAACAATAAAAATATTTAAATCACACAGGTTAATAAATAAAAACATGGCACACATGAGATGGTATCCTTTCTGAATCAATTAACAGACACATTTGTATGCCTTCTAAATTATCACAAGTTTAAATTATTAGAAACCAAGAAATGGTAACTTAAAAACACTTATGGTTATTTAAAGTGGCTTAACAATGCAAATTAATCATTAAAAAAATCTAAAAGAAAAGTCTTAATTTTTCCTTAGAAGAGCCTGAGAATGATGAAATGGAAGTAATGTGTCATGCCAACATTCTTTATAAAACTTTATATCGGAGAATAAAATCAGACACGACAACAAATATTTATTTCAAAACTTACCAGATTTTAGTAAGATAGTTACTGTTCAAAAGTCATCAACTAAAAACCGAAGAAAGATAAATTTCATGATTTTGAATTGAGATTTTAACTATTAAGATCAAATAAATTAAAGTTAAATCTTAAGTATTTTTAATTTATTTTATTATACTGATTTAAGTTTATGCTATTAATTATCCAATAAATAAACACTTTTGAGACTTTAATAAAATCAATAATCATAATTTTTTGTAAATATGTTTATTTTCCAATATATTATATTGATGTACGGTACTAGTCAAGACCATCTTCAAAACTTTTACTTGATTTAAAAGTTGAAAGTGTAAAATTAAATATTAATAATAAAAAAAAAACATAGGTTATTATAAATTTATATCCAATTATCTAAGAAGATTTGTAATAAATTTAGGTTGAAACAAGTAATTAATCAATGTTTTTTGTAAATTTAAAAATCAAATCAATAGAACATTAATGAAGATGTTTATATTAAATGATAGTCTTGTTAGGAACAAAAATGTTATGTTACTACCAGTTAATAGAAAATAAAAATATTTGTAAATAATTTTGATATCTGTTTGTTTATATGTATTAAACAGTTAAAAAAATTCCAAAGTGTAAAGGTTTAATAAACATAAACATTTTAATTGATGAGTTTATTGTACTGACCTATTGATAATTAACAACCTAAAAACATTTCAAAGCTCAATGAATGGTAAAACTGGATGGGTGTAAATGCAATCATAATTTAACTTCTGAACAGATTATCTACTCATTAGTTAAAAACTTGGTATTATACAAAAATGAATCCAAAGTGACTACATATCAGTCAAAAATTATAAAATAAGAACTTAATCGTCATAAATAAATCACAACAAAATATTGTCATTGAAGTAATGGTATGACACATGTTTTCCAGTACAATTGGAAAATTAATCTAAAACAATTATTTATGTTACTCTAACATTCGTATTAAAACTTAAATTTGGTACAACTATCTCCTAACAATATCTTAAATAGGAAATAAACTTAACAAAATTAACGTGCTCATATTTCGTATCACAGAGCAGGGAATGCTAAAAAAATAGGCCTTTGGTAGGCAAGCCAACCATTAAAATTATTAAAACAATAACGAACCCTAAGAAACTGCTCCTATGATTACTAATTCGAGAAAACAGTCTCATATAAAATATACGACTATACACAGTTTATACATGAGGAAGGGATGACTCATTGAAATAAATCAAAGTAGTTAATACTTTAGAGCTTTTTCTTTTCTATTTACTATGCACTCAGTGTTGAAAACATTAAATTTTTTATAATAATGAAAAATAAAATAAAGCAATAATGACATGCGATATTAATGAAACCGATAATTGTACAATATGTGTGCATATATTATAAGATTATGTGAATGCTTTTCATCTACATTCATTTGTCGGAGATAGGAAAAATTGATCATCTAATTATAGGACTGGTCATACATAATAGTAATGCTAGGATCAAAGGACATATAGTACACAGATAGAAAATAGACGTTATAGGAAGGATAATACAGCATAGGAGTGGCAAATGCCGTGGACATGGCACTGTCTTTTAATATGCCTCTCAAGTCTGTATCCACACTAAAGCTGCAGGGGAACAGTCTCTCGGACTTAGGCAATGGTGAGCTAAGAAGGAGGGAAAACACCAAAACTCATTGTACTTTCTAGGCCTGCAGTGTTCAGAATATCTGCGGATCAGGTCCAAAGTTCCTATCCCAGTATCCCCCAGTGTATAACCAATCCTCCTGTTGTGTATATGGGTTTGTTCCTTGGCAGAACCACCTTTAAACATAAACAATGTTAATAATTAAAAAACAGATAAAGAAAACACAAGTACTGAATTAATTTATATTAACAATATATTAACATGTACCCTTAATAAAATCTAATCTGGGAGGATTTTAAATCCTCACATCATTTATAATTAAAATGGAAACCCATATGAATAAGCCTTATTAAAACAAATCATAAAAAGAAAAATACAAACAGTTAACTAAGATAATACCTGGACAAGATAAGTAATACATTTAAATATTGGTCCTTTGACTAACAATTTAAATTTTCTTAGCTAAAAAAGAACTTGACTGACTGATACTATCACAATATAAATCCGGGTATACACTCGAGCAATCACCCCGAATGAATATCTGTTTGCCCTGTTTGATCAGATGAATACAGGATGCACCAAATGGATTCACGAGCCTTAGCCCGATCCAAGAGTTGTTGATACTTCAAAATGAGCAAGTACTCAGTTCATGGTGGTGGGTCAGACCACACGCTGCACAGTAGGCCGTCCTAGTATATCTAGCGGAACAAAAGTCAACAAAAGTTAGGAGGATCCATAAGTTTGTTTACTTTTTGAATGGTGAAATAAAATATGTTTTTTTGACACAAAAAATAAATCTTATTTTATAATGTATTTGCTGTTTTTATTAATGACCTATTGCCATCATTTTAACAATTTCATTATTCCGCTCTCGTAAAACATCTGGGGCTTAGAGGCGAAAAACTGGTCGAGATACATTTTCAGATCTCTCTCATCATCGAATGATTTCCCATTGAGGGATTTTTGGAGAGACTGGAAAAAGTGCTAGTAGGATGGTGCAAGGTCTGGTGAAAATGATGGTTGTAATAAAACATTTCAGCCAAATTGCACTAACTTTTACTGTGTGATTATTATGGAGTGTGGTCTGGTGGCAACATGACAACACAACACATCGTAGCAACATAGAACACCTTTGTAGTTGACTAGTTCTGGGCGTTTCTGTCGAAATTCTTGGTCCAATTTTGTTAGATGGGTGCAGATCTTTGAATCAATAGTTTTTCCTTGTGGAAGCAGCTGATAAAACAGTACACTGCGATAATCTTACCATATGTAGAGCTAAATCTTTTTCAGAATTGTGACTTTAGACGGCTTGTCAGGAGTTGTCCAAGATCTCCTGCGCACTACTATGTCATAGATGATTCACTCTTCATCACCCATCACTATTTGATTCAGAATGGATCCATTTCATGCTAGTTCAGAAGAGAATGTTAGATTGGTATTCGGTTGGCTAGGTTTGCCTCAGTCAGTTTGTGTAACCCCGAAACAACGAGGCTCTACAGGTAGCCAAGCTATTTTAAATGCTTTTGAACATTCCAAAACCTATTTTCAGTGTCTCCACATTTTCTCTTACCTGTAGGTACTGGGCTTTTCCAATTAGACCCTTGATATCACTCAAATCAACCAAGGTAGGCCCCGATCGCTGCGGGGTGGGTGCATTTTCGAGACTCGTATCTCCGGAACCAAATTTGGATAAACATTGTTGAGCCGTACGTTCTGTTAAGGCATCTTCCCTAGCTTGAAATATAAAAGCAAAAAAAAATGGCAAAAATGCACTTTTCTCTAAATGCATTTATAAAAATGCATAATTCTCTTAAGAAACTAGTCTCTCAATCATAGCTGTGACATAATTCAATATAGAATCTTCAAGTGATGTTTTTGTAAAGTTTCTGGTGTTCTCGTTTGTTTTATGTAATATTATATTTAACAGTAAAGCATTGCATTTCTCTTCTAACAATTTTGTTTACAACTATCACTTTCTCCTTTTATTTTTCAACGAGTGTAATTAATATATGCAACAAAAACCTGGGACAATCAATTTCCAGTTCACGATTGGAGGCCGTACATACACTGCCCCTAATATACAGCACTATCTGGGTCCCCTGCTCAGTCCACATGGGTACAAACCCAGAGTCTCATTGCTCATTTGGCACATGATTGTGCACTTCCCTCCACTTGGCATGCTCGCCCGCTCTGGGTGAATGCTCAAGTGTATAGGCAGTTTAAGGTGATTGAAGAACTTGACAGCTGAGAGTGTTAGAGCCCTGTGATGCCTGATTTAAGTATGAGTTTGATGAAAACCTTGGTGAGTTAATATTTATTTCATGGTAGTCCAATAAAATGAATTTCGGCACTCTTGCTTTGGTTGGTAGTCTTTTGGGAGGTACACAAGGCCCATTTCATGGGTTAGGTTCCCCTGCCAAAGCCAATACTTTTACCAGGAACTAAAGTGGTGAAGTTTCTTCAAAATGAGAGATTCAGATACATTAGATACAAAAATCCACCACAGATAAAAGTTTTACCTTGGTTTCCATTCATTTTTTTTCCCCTTCCTTGCTTTGCGAGCATCCCTCTGTTTTTCTTCTAGCCTTGTTTTTTCAGCTGCAGCTCCATCAAGATCACCATTTTCTAGTTTTCTTATATCAGGCCTTAATCTGTAAGAATAAAAAAGAATTAAAAGCATGATTTTATTTATATCTATAACTGCTTAGGCTGTTCAAGGTCATTTTAACCCTTGCAAGACATTAGAAATTTAAAAAAAATTAAATTAGGAATAACTCACAATAACATATTTATAATCAATTTAAAGCTACAAAACACTGAACATTAAAAAGTTAGTTAAATAAAAAAAGTACAATTTAACAAATCATAATTCTTTATTGTGATTAAATGGATAGAGAATGTAATAAGTAATTATTGATTTACCTGCAGTCTGTAGGACAAAGTTTTTTCTCCATTCCAGGTTCAAGTTCATTTAGCGACATTGCAAATAGCGAAAAGTGATAGAACTGAAAAATTTAGTAATAATAATGATCATTTTCAGCAGCTAAAGTAGTAATTTTTGGTCTACACAACAATACTAAATAATATTAAGAAATGTATGTATTTTTTACATTTTTTTATATTATATAAAGCTTCATAAAATAGCTGATTAAACAAATAACAAAAAAACTTATGAACCATATAAAATCTTAGTTGACATTAGTTTCAATCATTAACTAAACTTCATCGACATCAGAACATCAAAAATTGGAAATTTAATTAAGAATCAGAAATTAAAAGACATTCATTAAAGTCCAATGACAAATACCTCTGAGCTATTAGATGGCCTGGGAGTAGCTTCCCATAATGTTGCTGAATTTGGAATGTCAATGGAATAAGTTGAGTCACATTTTGGAATGTCACCTCCTTCCGCTCCTCCCGAGAGTGCCTCATCTGCTTCCTCTGCCTAAAATTATTTTATTAAAAAAACTAAATAATTAAAAGATGCAGAATTACACAGTAAAACAAACAAACTTAAAATGGTGGTAAAAAGCAGTTGTTAATTGTTTACTAAAAAGTTATGGATCAATCATCAATTAGATAATTACTGCCTAACTATGTCATTCACAATTTTCTTAAGGTTTTGTTCTTTTCTTTTGCTCTGGGATAGAGCACAAATAGGACTGGCATCGATGGATAAATCGTTAGGCCATTCCCCAAAAAGATCTCTCATACTCTTTTTAATGTAATTTAGAAAAGGCTTCTAATCGTCCTAATAATACTTTGTTATATATATATATATATATATATATATATAATAAAGATAAATGTTAAACTAGAATTTAAATTAACAATACTGGTAATTTTATATATTTTGTGAGGAGGGTAGCTCAGTGAATAAGTTACTGGGCTCCTATTCTTTCAATCCTGGATTTGAGTCCAGCAGTGGCAGGTAATTATTTACTCTGTTGTACAATGAACGATTGACAAAGATTGACTGAAATGAAGTACACAGATATTTTAAGACAATATTCGATTGATTACGTAAAAGTTACTTTTCCTTTTTTTAAATCACATCCCTACACATTATTATTTTATGTAAATAAAATAGACTAGGATAGTTCTGTTTTGAAACTAAAACTGAGAATGTTAAAATGAATAAAATCTAAAATCAGATGTTTTGAAACAAGTTAATTTTTGCCCCTTTCAGTTTATTTTCTACTGTAAAATAATTAATATTTAAACTGAGAAACACATTAAAAAAGTGAACATTTAAAACAAATGTTTGTACGATGAGAAAAAAATAAACCAAGAAAAGAACAACTACTTTCTAAATATGGCTTTAAATATTATTCATGAACATTCCATAAAAAATAGATTAATGAACATTCTTTTTTCTTAGTTAATTTTGTCCACCAGTTTATATATATATATATATATACATTTAAAATCACTAATTCTATTAATCTAAATATCAAATAAACATTTATCATTACAATAGATATTATTTTATTATTTATATTTATAAACAATTTTTAATTTACAAAAATAAAAATGTAAAGAATGTATTACTTACATCAACAACTGAATTTTGAGACTTGAATGGACCCATCTTGAGACTGTTCAGCTTGGCAAGAACCTTCTTTGGTGTGTGGACAGGGCTGTCCGAATTCGATGGAGGTCCCTTTCCGTCTGCAGACCTAATCACACGAGACCAAATTGCTTGGTCACTTCCAACAGCGGGAATAAATGAAACAAAAAGAAATTCGCAACTTAAAATAAAAAAAAAGTAAAAAAATAAAAAACTCCAGTCAGTAGCGACAAACAAACCAACATAAATGACCAAACTACCTTGACAACGCAGGATAGAACACTCATAAGAATAGAAGGATAGAATATAACCATTCTCTTCATAAATAAGGTATAAACAATGTTAGTAACACAAAAACATGAAGAAAAAACATCCAAAAAGAAAAGAAAATATATTTTTAAAAAATATTAGTCATTATTAATTAAAAATCCAATGTTAGCAACAGTTTAACAAGCACTATAGGTTAATAAAGCGTAGTTTTTACCAGTATAGGTTTTATTGAATTATCTGTTATATTTTTTATTTCACATAATGCCAAGGTTGTCAACCATGATGGGCAAAGATCCTAAAATGCTTGGTTTGGAGCAATGAAGGATTTATTCCAACCTAGTTTAGTTAATATTTATTTCTGGCAGTTCGAGGAAGAAATCTTGACATAAAAATTTCGTTATAAAGGATGGCAACTTCTCACAACCAGAACTGGCCTTAACTGATGGGAGGCTGTGAGCATACTGCAAATCTCTACCATGAGGCCTCTACACATTATCAATAAACTCAATCTAGTAGATTTATTAATCTTCTTCACCCTATAAAAGTTGTCTTGGTGTGAACAGCAACTGCATGATATCCATAAGCTAAAGATTCAGAGCGGTTGAAGTGGTCATATCGGTTTAAGACCAGCTTTGATGGCAACCATCTGAGGTTGACAAAAGAGACCAATCAGTCCAATTAGTGTACTAGTTCTCTCCACCAATAACAGCATGAATGATAATGAAAAAGGAATTCCAATTGAAGTTATAAAAGGAAAACATGATATCTAAGTGACACATGGTTTCTGAAAAATGTATTCACAGATACAAAACATAATAGTGATTAAATCAATTATGCATTTAGTGAAATTGATACCACTTCAAATTTCATTCTAAAAACCGATAAATAAAAGCAAACTACGCTCAAATCTAAGAACAATCCAAAACAAAAATCTTTGACAAATACCCAAATACTCTAGACCTCCACATTCTAATAAGTTATTCAAACCTAATGATCAAACATAAATAAAAGAAAAAAAAGAAGCCATTAAAGGAAACAAAACAAATGAATACAAAATAAACAAGAAAATATTTAAAGAAAAGACAAAATGATAATGGAGATTTTATACAGATACACATATCTAATAACAATACACACACTATTTTTTTTAACTCACAGCTATAACACATTCCTATACTAAAGACATAAAAAGTTTTGTTTTACAGAAACATATATTACTGAGTAATCAAACAACAAAAAAAAAAAATTTTAATTTTTAATTTGATTAATTTGAAAAGACAATTTAACTGAGGACAAAAAGCAATTAGCATGATTCATATACATGCGAAAATTTCAAAGAAAATAGATTTGCCATTTAAAAAGTAAAAAATGTAATTCAAAATACTAACAAAAAGTTTATAATGGAATTTTTCTATAAATTTGTAATACAGAAAATTGGTTTATAGCTTTTTTGCTTTATATATATATATATATATATATATATATATATATATATATATATATATATATATATTTTATGAATATTGGTTTTGTAATAGGAATGGTTTTTATTTATTACTAAAACATATTCCACCTTGACAGAGGTATGTTTACATTTTTTTCTATTTAATTTAATATATTTCAGTACACTTTAAAGAAAGCAGTACTTCATGAGAATATTAGTGCTCACCGTGCTCACCCACAAGAGAGCAGGTAGAAATATTCCCAAAATAAATAAAATATAAAAATTTCAATTTACAAAATAAATAATTTTGTTGATATTAGTACGTGTATTTTAGAATCAAGCAAAATACAAATTGAAAAATAAAAGATACAAGAGTTGATATTCACCTAAATTTATGAGCATTTTCTTTAAGATACTCTTCATAAGAAGAATAGTCAGTGCATCGTATGAATTCGGTCCATTTTCCATATATAAAGTGTGATTTTCTTTTACTAAAATCAAAGAAAACAGTAACAACATAATCTTTAAAAGTGAAAATGGATTTATACTTCAAACTAAAAAATGATAGTAAAATAATAACTTTTTATCCATGATGAAGCCTTCAACTCTGTGTAAGTCCTTCGAGAACCAACCCGCAGGTTTGAATGAAAGAATAGCTTTATGACCTAGAAAAATACATTTTAATAATGATACACCAGTTTTTTTAATGTGTTAATAAAGGAAAACTTAATTTGTTCTTCTGAAGTAACAATAATTAGATAAGAATAATAAGGTATTAAAGAATCAAATCATTCATTTTTTATTTATATGTAATTTAATAAGTAGAAGTAATATACTGAAGACTAAACAGTATAAATATAATACATCAAAATTAATATAACATGAAAGATAATCTTGTTTACAATTTTTAATGAAAACGGAATAAGATCACAAAATTACGTAAAAAAACAACAGATAAATCCATTTCATAAATATTGAAACAATCAGTTTAGAATGAAGTTACGAAAAGTTCCTAGTATTTACAAATAAATACATCCAGAATTTTAAGTAATTTTTGTTTTAAAAGCTATGGTTAGAGTTATTTAATTGGTTTCGTTTCTTTAACAAGAAACTTTCAAGGAACTATTATGCAACAAAAAGTTTATTTAAAACGACTACCACAGTATTTTTCAACGTTTCTGTTTGAAAAAGCCAATTTAATTTAATTGCATTATATTATTAGAAACTCTACTTTTAGAACATTGTAATAACCAAAAGGCATAACTTATCCATATATCAAAATTAAACTGTGTTTTTTAAAATAAAAAGATCTTGAAATTCAATTTTCTCATGGTATGCTTATGTTGCGCAAAGACGTTTAAAATAATGAGTTAATTTTCTTTTTATATAAGCAAACAAATTTTTTTTTTGTTCTCTTCTTGAGGCTATCTACTCTAGACTATTTCCACTGATATTCTATAAATTTCATCATAGGTGCATGAATATAGCAAGTGAGGGAGCTACAGTAAAACCTGCATATATATTAAAATAGTGTACTAGGCAAGAACACAAACAATAAGCTATTTCATAGTCGTCTATTAATTTGTTAATTTTATGTAAGGATTGTTAAAATATAAATCACAGACTGAATCTTACATTTTAGAGAGTATTTCAACAACAAACCCAATACATCATAACTGCCCTAACTTTCATTTAGGTTATTTGTATGCTCTGGAATCTTTTATGGATTGTACATTATTAATCAATATTTTGATTTGAAGCAATAAGTATTTATTATTTATGGGTAGAGTACATACCTATACTCATGTACATGTATATAAGTGGTTTATTTTATAAATATATAAATACAACAATAAGTAAAAAGTTAAATTACCAGAAGCTATGTTGACGATCTCCATTGTTCCATACTGCTCAATCCAAAGCTTACCCACAATTATATTGTGAACACAGCAGTTAACATTAGACCAAGTATATGCTTCTCCCCATCTATTGATCAATTTAATAAAAATTACTAAATTATTAATATAAGATTAAAATTTTATAAATGATATCACTAAATAAGGAAAATTTGAAAAAAACATAAAATAGTTTATATATTTGGGGTAGGAAATATTAATAAAACAATATAAATGAACAACACATACAACATGTGCACAATTGAAATAAAAATTAAAAACTAAATAAAATATTCAGTTCGGGGTGAGTGAACTAAGTTACTAGTAGGCTTGTGTTGTCAGTTACAATTTTTGTCCCTGCAAGAAACACAAGATTTAAAATAGTATCTAACAATTTTGATAATGTGTGCTTGACTATAATTAAATTATTGGCATGATAATTCTTATTTTATATTTATTGAAGTACAAATATTACAGTGGTCACAATTACCCAAAGTGGTTAGGACCAGACCCCCTCTTCAGATTCATAAATTTTTCAGATTGAGTAAAATTATTCTTAAAATAAGCTTAAGAATAATAATAAAATTACTAAACAGATAATAAATAAATAAACTTATTCATTCCAAAAGCGGCCATATTTAGATTTCAATGTGTTTTAGTGGGTATTAAAATAATTAATGGTTTTTGATTTTCAACACAACCTAAATTAGGTGTCAGACAGAACCAGGAATGTGCAGGCTTGAGATCTCTTGAAAAATCTTGCTGGTTGGAAGAACGCAAATAAAACTTATGTGTATTAGTGGATATGAGTGATTAAGATTGTGAGAGCTTAGATGAACAGCAGATAGCTAATGTGGTTTTGAAAGAACCTGATAACATCTCAAATAAGAGTCTAGATAAAACATAACATAAAAGGGAGCAAGAAATATTCGAGCCAGATTCAGCAGGAACATTTGATATGATGCTCTGCTGCTACATAGAGTGACAATTAGCAACAACTCTGGTAGAAACCATTTTTCTTAGGAGTTGGCATAATTTGGCTAAACAGGAGAGGTATTCTCTTTGAAAAAGAATTTAACAGATTACTTCATATCAACATAGTTCCGTACATTGTATATTTTGAAATTTTCAGAATTATACTTTATCTCACTAAGTATTGTAATTATAATTCTTTTGAACTTTGAAAAAATATTCCATCTTATTAAACAAATTTTGGATTGTTTGGACTCCACTATATTAAACTTACAATTGGCCATGGTATGGGAGAAACACGATAACTCTAATTTTTAGCAAATGAGAGTTGTCATAACGATTCACAAGACATTTCATTTTATTTTTAACACTTCCTTCAGCTTTATATTAGTTTTTAATATTTTTATAATGGTCATATGAACAAGTAAAAACTTTAAACAACAGTACTTAAAAGAAGAGATGTTGGGTTAATTTTGTTTAAATTTATATCAAACAAGTTCTTTAGAACTAATCAAGAATTACTAGAATTGATTAATAAATTTTCTTTCTACAGTTTCCACTTTAATTCTCTCTAATTAAATTGTACAAAATTTTAGTATCACACTTATATTTTATTATTCTAATAAATAATTTATTAATACAAACTTTGGAAGTTCAACTGTAACTGTCCCCTTGGGTTGAATTTCAACGCTCTTCCCCCAGAACTTCAACTTTGGATGGATGGAACCATGAAAGAGGAAATTCTTAGAATCTGCATGAAAGGCAGAAATAGGAGGATGGTGGCTCACTTGTTCACAAATAACCCTACAACATACATTAAAAAAAAATGAGAAAAATTTGAAATACATAACAAGAACAACTTACAGTGTCTAAATAAATTTGTTTGTTTAAACGTAACACTCATATCAAAAAGTAATAAAATATATTTAAAAAAAATAAAAAACCTGTACCACTACAACTCATGAAGGTTTTGAGTTCAGTCTTATTTAGGGAAAGTACTGATTTTTAGTCAATGGTTGTGCAAGGAGGTGATTTGACTGAGATCATGCCCAACCCCCAGGTTTTCCCCCTTAATTAATTATTTAATTAAGGCTTCCCACTTTATAGAGGCTGGGTATGCCCCAGGAAGGTCTCCCGATCCTAGGGTTATCTAATGCTGCTGATGAAACAAACTAAATAATTTTTCTGCCATGAGTTGGGATTCGTAACCAGGACCTTAAGCATTGGAAGATCAGTGCCCTGCCTGTGAGCTACCCCACTCGAATAAAATACATACAAGAGCAAAACAAAAAAAAAAATGTAAATTCTGAAATTTAATATAGTACCAATTAAAATTATTTCTTGATTATATTTTCTCAACTGCTAAAGAATCAGATGAAAAAAGTTTCCCAAATCTCATTGTTATATGTTTTAAAAGAATACCAATAAAAAAATTATGCAAAATGTAACTATCTTTATTTTCAAAGAAGACATTTGATGTATATAGTTCAGAGTCATAAAGAAAGTAAATACCTACAAGGATAGAACCAGAAAAAGCTAAAATAAAATCCAGAGTATTGATCATGATAATTTATTGATTAACACTAATCTTAAGAAGCTCTTAATTATTGTTAGTGTTGGTATATTTGTACTGGTACTGGTGAGAGGAGCTAATCCTCCAATGGGCCTTTAAGTCCTTTTTGCCAAACTCTAATCACACTATTCATCTTCTTAGATGATACACAGAGAAATAAATATCAACGGTCCTTCCACTCCAATTAATTTTTGGGCATCAAAAGGGTCTCTGTTAACTTGGTTAAAAAGTTTTAATTAATTATTTACAGAAATATTATCATGAAACACTGTTTTAATGAGCTGTACAATGACTTCATTCCTAACTCAAATAGTTTCTTTGAATCACATATGTTAAAATCACTATATATTTTTATAAAAATTATATATGAGAATATAATTTTACCCACTATTGTGTGGCTGTCACAAAAATTGTCTGAATAGCAGCTTGTTGGTTTTATAATTTGAGGATTAATTTTTATTAAAACAGAAACACAATATTTACATCATAAAATGTTAGTAGGAAATAAAATTAAGGAAAAACATTTTAAAAAAATATTTCAAATTACATTAAAATGGAAGAATGAAAAAAATATCAATCAGAAATATTCCATGAAGCAAGATAAATTATTCAAAGTATCCATTATTTAAAAATGAATTCACTAACCTGTAATTTTCTCTTTCCAACTCATAAGTCTCACCTAGTAGAGGGTTGAAGGGTTTGCCGAGCCTATCCCAATTAGAGGCCAAAGCACTAACAGCGAATGCACAAATGTACTGTAAAAAGAACAAAACAACAAATGTTTGTTAATAATCAAATATTATTTTCTTTAAAAAAAAATAAATATTGGTTTCACTGAATAATTATTATTATATAAGGCAAGTTAATTGGCAATTCCTTGAAAAGTGAAGAAAGAGTTAAGTTGTTCTATACTTTACTCACACTGTGTTAAGTTTATGAGCAGCTTTAGTTTAAAATTAACTGGTAAACTATATATTTTCACTGTTTATTTATTTATTCTCACTCTACCTTGTCTTTTTTTACAATACACGATTACGATTTATTGCATAAGAACAGTAAACAATATATATTCACTAATTATTAAAAAAAAAAAAAAATAGTACTGGTAATCGCTACCCCATTTAACAATGTGACATCCTTGGAAAATGCAAATTTTAAGATATATATGTATTTACAAAGCACTGTTTTACACTTTAAAAAGTTCAACACTGTGATATCTAAGTAAAATAGAAAAAGAAATTACAAACATAAAAAAAGTAAATATGACAAGGTTGATATGCAAACATTTTGGCAAATTTCAGAGAATTCTTAGAAAACATTTCTCAGATTTTTTTCATTTTACTACTTGGCAGTAACAGATTTCGAATTTAATTTTGGAAGATTCAATTTAAATTTAAAGGATTTTTTTTTTAAATGAACAAACACAACAAAGCTCCTAGATGTTTTAATAAAAAGAAACCATTAATAAATACCACGTTTACTGTATATTAATTCAGTTTCCTTAGTGCCCAATGTCCTTGATTGTGGCAGATTGTATTATCATTCTTCCAATAAAGTGATTAATAATTAATTCATTCTCCTACTAACCACTTGCGAACTGTTTGAAACAGTATAGGTAAGAGCTAATTTAATAAGCTGAGAGCCACAATTGATTAATTAAAATGGTGACTGAAGTATCAGCAAAACCAGTTTTGCATTATGTGAGGATTATTCCTTTTCCCAACTGCAGCTATCTATTAATACTCCAATGCAACATCTGAAAGATTTATAAACACAAAAACAGATATAAACATATATATATAGCTATAATAATAATGATTCTGACAATTCAAAAGTGGTTAGTAAAAGAATGTACAATAAACATGGTTGATCATTCCGCTTTATATTAGTGCACCAACGTACGCCGCAGTCTTGTCCTTGGCTTAACAGTTAATCTGTTGATGCCGTCCGGAGTTGCCGGATGTTTCGTTGAGCACTAACGTAATATATGCACCATACGTAAGTATCCTGATCTATAAAGTCGCTTTGAATTGGCAAAAACATAACAGTTGATGATGATACACAAACTAGACTCAGCAACATCAACTTTCTGGACCTGGTACCATATACGGCAAAGGGGGATCCCTATATAGTCCCCGTCCGGGGGCTATATAGTTTGAAAATGGGTTCACTGGGTTTAGAAAAATATAGATCAAAGAAAAAATCAACAGGTTCACGATAATGAGCAATCTAAAAACAACAAAATGATAAATTTAGAGATTTCTTAAACTGGTACAGGTTACAACAAAACTAGAAGGGAGTTTCGGGAAGGTGAGAAATCAACTAGTTTAAATTTAGATTTTTTTTACCAGCGAGCCGTTCGAAACAGATTCCAAACGCACCTGACTAATACCTATGTCTGTATGAAGAAAAAGTGTCAGACAGAAGGAGTCTCGCTGAAATCTACGACCAGAAACACACTCACGGTACATTATTGTAAAGTTGGAACAAACAGAGATGGCCCCAAGTAATACAAACCAGTCTGCAATGGACAGGCCCCATCAATGGATGAAGCTTCAAGAGTGGCAGGTATCCGATGACTGGTTGCACAACTAGGATTGAACTTCTCATTTACTTCTGTCAATCGTTGTTCGAGAAAAAAATCATGATATCTTTATTAAAGGATTTTCTAAACACCCTAGTATAATCTTGATCCTTTTTAAGGCTCTCAGGAGCAATGGATTTTGATGAACGAGGAATCAAACGACAGAGAATTTCATGGAGATATGAAAAAACTCAATTCCAATCCTTAGATTCCCAAAACAATTTTAATATAAGTCACAGAAAAAATTAGAAAGCTTCAAAATAGATGGTTTCAAAATCGAAGGATCGGATTGTGTTTTGAAGATTTCAAAATCAATATCCAAAGGAACTACATTTAAAACCAAACAATATTTCGTTTTTGAGTTAATCGTAAATCTTAATGAAACCACGTTAGATGTTATGGTTGCCATGGGATACTTATCACCTTTTAATTAGGTTTTAAAAATTAAAATATTCTATTTATGATTTTTTTAGACAAACTAAAAATCAATTGAAAAGATAAATGGAAATGAATAGCTTAATGATCCCTTGGACAGTTCGGATAATACAGGTTTAAAAAATATCCAGGTTATTGCTTTTATCTTCTATACTCTCAGTAACATAAGTTTCTAAATGGATTAATATAAGTTCAGAAATAGCTGTGTAATATTGCCTGAACTATTCAACTGGAAGGATATTTCTTAAGTAAATTGCTATTTTAACAAACGTGATAATGTTTAAAGCTTCAATCATTGTATGTGTTGAATGGACTATCCTCATAATATGATATCGTATGGGGGAGAGGAGATCTAGACAAAATTTCCCTCCAAAAAAAAATATATATATTTCCGAACGGATAAGTAGTTAAAACCAATTTTATGTTTTTATTAAGAGGGTCACGGTTTTTACTTAATTAGAAGGAATTACTCACAAACTATCCAAGATAATTAAAGTATAAGAACAATATCGTAAATTAGAGATTTTTTTGAGACAGCAATGATTAAATGTAGTAAAATCATTCATAAAAGGGACATGAGGTCTAATACGGCCACTGTACTGAGAGATATTCGTGTATGGATATTGTTAACTGCAGCAGTACAGAGGCCATATTAGATTTCCTGAAAGCCCCTTTCATCATTGACTTTATTAAATTTAATCATTGTTTTTACAAAACTTTTTTTTTCTAATTTACGATGGTGTACTTATAATGTAATTATCTTTAACAGATTTTGAGCACGTCCTCCTTATTTAATGAAAAACCTGACTACCTTGAGAAAAACACAAATATTTCGAAATGCATTTAGGAGAACGACAGCAACATACTATGAGAGTTCTTACAGAGATATACTTTTCAAGTAATTTTATTAGTGCCATAATAAGGCACATTAAAAGATTCGACGAAGGACTTTACTAATCTATGCCTAACTTCTATTCCATATTAGTTGTAAGCGTTATATGAAAGCATGTTTCATAAAATGAGTGTGATTTTATGTTTTAATTAGGTAAGTTAATTTTTAATAGTTCAGTCGTAATCCTGTTCAGTCCTAATCCTGGATAGTGAAAGACTTAAAAAACACATTTGACAGGCTTTTTTTATTTATTAATTTTTTTTATCTATTTATTTTTATTATACTTTCTCTGATTATTATTTATTTATTTTTTCACTTGATTTCATTTCATTTTAAATTCATTTGTTTATTAATCTCAATTCATTTATTGATTCTACTGCTATTTTTTAAAGTTTATTTATTTATACATTTTTTATACATCTTATTACCTATAAATGTCTATTATTATCCTTATTTATTTATTTTATTCTATCAATCCATTTCTTTATTTATTTTATTTTTTTATTATTATTTTATTATTTTTTTTTTATTTTTTATTTTTTGTACCAATCATCCAAATAGTATTAAATGATGTTATTTAGTTGATTGGGCGCTTATGACCTGGATGTTTTGCGCCTAGACATCGAAACAAACAAACAAACAAGTTCATGATCTATTTGGGCTTAGGTTCAAAGTTAATATTACTGCAACAATAAAGATCAAGTTGACAAATTAGTTTTTTGGCGAGACAAAAAAACTTTCAAATATATAACTATGGAAATGTAAGGAGATTGTCATTAATAGCGGTGGTAAAAGAAGAGAGAAAAAAAAAGGCATCCATATTCATGACGAATTTCGACTCTAATCCAAAACAAACTTTTTAATCTCTTTGTAAGAACAGAGAGTTCATGAAGTATGCATAAAATGTAGGTCGTTTTTATTTTTATTTTGTATAACAACAGAGGTAAAAAATCCTGAGTTTAAGTATTTCTTAAATTATATTAAAATAAATTAGCATAATGCGATCCAACATTTGTTGTATAAAATTTATTTTCGAATAGGATTTATAATTTTCATTATTTAAAATTAAAATTATCAGAATTCATAATTAAAATAATAATTTTTTTTTTTACAAATCGAGAAGGAAATTGCGAGAGTCCGAGTGCCTGGTACTGAACGTTTTGGTTCGATTCCCAACTAGGTAAGTTAATCATTATTTCTCTGAGGCTCCAAGAAATCAATCTTGACACTCCTACTCTGGTTATTTAAACCTAAGGTAGTCGTCAGGGATTGGCTCTCTTGCCGGACTAATTTTCTTCACCAATTCCATTAACAGTACCAGTAATTCCAAATATCTTTTGAATTTTCGGAACTTATTTATTAACAAAATAAAATAAAACAATAAAGTGACCCTTTTTAAATATTAACAATATATTTTTTCATGTAACACGAGAATATAGAGTGTCTTAGTTCTCAATGGCTAAATCCTGGGGGGGGGGATGATTCTAGACAAAATTTCCAACAAAAAAGTCCATTAGATGAATGGGCCGATTAAGAATGTAAAAGGAGTAAATATCAATTCTATCTTTTTTTTTAGACGTCACGGTTTTTATTGAATGAGAAGGAACTGCTCAACAACTGTTTAAGATAATTAGATTGTAAGTTCACTATCCTGAAGTAGACAAAATTTCCATTGAGAAAACAGTTGTTAAATTAACTAAGGTCAATGATTAAAAGGGGCTTTAAGGAGGTCTAATACGGCCGCTGTACAACTGCAGTCACACATACACGAACAGCATATCTCTGTAATCGCGGTTTGTGAAATAATTCAGCATAGCTGTATGTTCTGCGTTATTAGACCTCCTGAAAGTCCATTTTATTATTGATCTTAGTAAACTATTTCACTGTATTATTTAAAAAATATTTTTGTCTACTTTACCATGGTATACTTACAATTTAATTATCTTGAACAGTTTTTGAGCAATTCTTTCTTATTAAAAAAGAAAAAAAAAAAATGTGATCCTCTTAAGAAAAACACAAAATTGGTCTTAATTCATTTTCTTTAATTAATAAATATATATAAAATATGTATAATTCAACTTTCGAGAACTGCACTTTAGGTTTCACTAAAAGAGGAGAATATTTTATTAAATAAAGTTTGAAACGTTTCCAATTACGTCAAAATAATTACATTAGAATGCCCTCGAACATAAAACAAAATAATATAACTATGCCAGAATTAAATATATAAATTTGAATAAAATGTTTTGTAAGCTGCTAACTCAATTATAATATTGTAAATTATTTACATGAATAAAAAACAGGTTATAAAATAAATATTAATATAGCAGTTAGACCAGAACAGTTAATTTTAATGACGGTTATTGTTATTTGGAAGCTTATTGCAAATTTTCACATAATTAATTAATTAAATAATATTCACTGAGACGTGAAGTTTAATTCTGTTCACTAGATTTATTTGTATTAGTTTATATAGAGAGATAAATAAAACCTACGGGCGGAAATAACATTAGTATGTTATTAATATCACTTAATATTTATTTTTTATATTTATATATTTTTTTACGTGATATTGGTTTATTATTTTCAATAATGAACTATTGTAATCGACCAAAAAATTAACTCCTTTAGGTTTCAAGATACGTAGAATTCGAAAATCGGATAACATTTTTTTGTCCGTCCACCGTCATCGCATTTTCTCCGAGACTACTGAATCGATTTTTTTCAAATTTGGATTCAAAGTCAGAGGTCACCCGAGGATGCTCCTCCTACATCGACATTACTATCCGCCTTTTCCTTTCAAGATGGCGGCCGAAAAAACTGTGTTGACAGTAAAAATGTATCGATTTGAATAAAACTTGACTGAAGTCTTCTTCTCGATGCTCTTTAAATTAATCTATATAACACACTTCAACGATAAGAAGCTGGAAAAAAGTTACAAAGGGTGGTAAAATAAGATTTCGGAATAACATCAAATGGTTACTCACAAGTTCACGAAAAAAAAGTTAAAATCGGACAATTTGGAGTAAAGAGATGGTCTCTACATATTTTTTATATGTTCAACTGCAAAGGTAGAACTATCTATCCTTTTTTATGGTTTTTAATCTTTGAAAGTGTTACTGAAGCAATGCTATTTTTTTAGCAAATTACTAATGATGAAAAAAAAAATGTTTACACCACTAATAGGAATCACCTTTTATTTCTGTTTCTTGTAACTAGGAAGGTAATGTTACTTTAGAAGTACAATTGTGTGGAGTGAGCTATGGGGCTCCACCAAACGTTCAAATTCCTCTCGCATCCAATCCTTACAATCCAAAATCCTTCGTAAAATCCTCAATGTTCCTTACTTTGTTACAGATAAACTCATCCATAATGACCTTAATGTTCCTTATGTATCAGATTTGGTCCATTCCAGATATCTGGCCTTCCATAATAAACTTCATAACCATCCCAACCCTCTTGTTTCTAACCTTGCTTCCTATTCAATTCCTTATAACCCTCCGAGGAGTCTGAAAAGAAGATGGCCACGTGATCTGCTAATATAGACATATTATTAGAGTGCTACCAATGGGTAGTTTCTCAACATGTGTTTCATGTCATTGTATCCTTGTGCGAATTTACTAGATGTATTTTTTGTATACAGTTGTAAATATCATAAAAAAATATTGTAAATATCATAAAAAAAAAAATGTAAATAAT